TAATTCTCACCTTAGAGTGTCCAGCACTTGATCCTTAGTTGGCTAAATGGTGGCACTCAGGGGTAAGTAAAGAGAAGTTTATTTATGCTTCAGGCACCCATATGTGGCATTTTGGGGAAATGCAAGACTCTCCAAAGTTCTGAACTGGGGCAGTTAAAGCCTTCAATCACACTTGGTTTGGAGTTTTCTTCAACCATAAGTGTACAGTGCTTTCTTCTCTTACAATTGACTTGCTTTAAGCTTTGGTTAAGCTCAATCACTAGAGGAATAATAAATTTAATGTTATGGACTTGTAAATGTGTTGATTTTCTTTATGTTGGAGGTGTTCTTTTTTGTGTTGAAAGAGGTTGCTTTTTCTGCAGAAATGTGAAAAAATTGGAAGTTTTGAAATGCCTATTTGAAACTCCAGAAAGTAGCAGGTAGTTGCTTATTCTTCTGAGTGTGTAGCATAGATGTCCTCGGTAATTTTCCTAGAAAGCAACTTTTTATTTTTCATCTTGGTTTGATTAGGACCGTATTCATTACTTCTGTAATTCATTTCTGTGTAGAAAAATTCTATTGAAAAGTTGAAATTTATCTTTTTGTATGTATTATACAGCTATTGGAGTTTATGATCATCTTTACAGGTAAAAGCTAGTATGCATAGTAAAAATAATTTTGACTTTTTAAACTGGACCTCAGTTTGGTTGTCTGAGCACTTCTTAAAGTGTACCTAGTACGGAGGCATTCTGTGTTTTACTTAAACAAGTGGGAATGACATCTGGTTGGGTAGTGAAAGACTTCCCTGAAATATGTGCTTGGGATCTTGCAGATTTCTATGGATAGTATTTTGCTGTCGTGCTGGTAGGGATAAGATGGGTGATATATTTTTTTTCTTCAAAATTTGGTGTTATATCTTGTGCAATTCTAAATAAGAACAAAAAATAGAGGTACCCGATGGATCTGAAGCTGTATGTTGGAAACTCTTCCCTTGAAGGAGTGTACAGAATTTGACTCAAGATGAAACTTCACGGGTGATGCCTCTCACCAGTAAGATCCCCAGGTGGTGGGAGCAGTGGATCAGATGTTTGTGGCTGTTGTCCGTATAATCGTCGATCATGAGGGTATAGCACAGCCTCAGCTGTATTTTACAAGCTCTTTCAAGCGACAGCACTTCCCTGGTGGCTTGCTTATGGTGCCTTTTTGTTAGAAACTACTATGATGGGATGTACCCAGTAGGTCAGTTTTCTATATTTTAAAGAGAGTTTGAATTTATTACTGCTTTTGGAATGAATTTTCACCTGGTAATCTGAATTCCTGTGGCTAGATTAGTTTTTATACTTCTAGACCATGCTGTACTTTAATGAACTGATGGCAGTTGGAGGTTGTTAAACTGTTGCTGTTGCAAGCTGATCAGGATCAATGTATAATAAATTCTTTGTAAATTAAATGCGATAACTTTGTGGAAAGTAGTTTGCTCTAGCTGCTAGTTTTCCTTCGGAAATACCTACTGTCTTCTGTAAACCAGAAGATTCAAGTAGTAGACATCAATATTAATTATCAAAGGTGGTTGTGAGGGGAACAATAGGAAAACAGTGCATTTTAGAATTTCTGAAACTGTTGGAAAAATTTGTGTTGCAACAAATATAAATAATATTTCGTCATTATAAATACTGTTGTAAGTCTCAAAACTAAGTTTATTTTTTGTGTATGAATGAATTCAATAAGTATGCTCTATGAAAATTCAGTGAAACAACATGAAATGTGGTTTTGAAATGTTGATTCCAGTCTGCAAGCTGAATACAGTTGGTGTTCTTGAATGCATGCTGAGGAAAAAAAGGACGGCTGTTAATAAAAATAATAAAACCCCAAGTCCTTTCAGTACAATTGCAGCAAACTGTATGTTTAGCCTGAGATCAGAGCCTTTGTACACTGTTAGAGCTTAGTAATCACTAGAAGATTGTTCTCTGCTCATGTGTCATTGCACAGCACTGGTAAGTGGTGAAGTGTTGCTGCTCCGACAGTGTCAGCACGGAGTGGTGCCGTAGTGCCTGTCCCTGGCAGTGAGCTGGCATGTGCCAGCCTGGCAGCTTGGAGTAATGAAATGCCAAGATGGCGTTGCAGCGTTGTGTGGAAGTGGAGAAAGCATCATTGGCTCCAGCTTAAAGAGGAACAGGGTGGGGGATTGTGTTAGGTGCGGCGTATTTGAAGACTTTTGGAATTGTCACTTCTCTTATAGGAAAATAACTGGGACTTTATGGAAAGAAGTGGAGATGAAAGTCAGCGGATAAATTTCACACAAACTATTCACTTTTTTATAGAAAGAGAGATGCAATCACTATAGTTTACTATGAGAAGTGAAAGTAAAGTCTAGAATCTTACTTTATGGAGGAAAAGAAAAAAATTAAGTCAATATTATCATAATGAAATCCTGTTAAAAAAAATGAAGTTGGAGGTAGATTTTGTAATTGGTGAGGAACTTCACTATTTTTCCTTCCCATTCAGTTTTTTGTTTTGTTTTGTTTTTATATATATGTGTCTGGGGATGAAAATATGTTAAGCTTTTAATCTTTCTAAGCTTTTCAAATGCAGGCAGATTTCCAGAAATTTGTGCTGCTCAGTTAACTGCATGAGCAGGGTAACTGAGCAAAGTTGCTTACTTGCAGACTAAGCAGGTCTTCAGGCTTGGCTGAAATAGATACTGTGTTTTAGCAGACCAACTACTCGTTGCTCTTGCTGCTGGGATGTCTATGACCAGGATTTTCTTCTGCTGCTATTCATGGAATGGACTGATACTGTAGAACAGCATACAGTGTGTTTGGGTAGCCACGAGGTGAAAAGAAGGTTGTGTGGGCTCTTTGAGGACATCCATAGACAATAATCTATAAATAATTGCTGGCTGAGGTTCAAACTGGTGTCTTCAGGTTAATTTTTTTTAAAAAAATCTGAATCTGTTAAGGAGCTGTCCCTCTTTTCTTAAGGATTCAGTCTGTAGTTGTTAAACCTGTTATCTCCTGAGCTGGTGAGGAAGGGTGTACAGCCAGTTAGGACAGTTCCTGCTCAGCTACTCCAAACAGCTGGCCTGCTTTGCTGTGTCGTGGTGATTATGTGCACCAGTGAGTGTCCTGTGATCTCCTGATGCAGCAAGAGGATATAGTGGGAAAGGATCCCTTGTAGTTTGTGTATGTCCCCAGTGATTCAGCAGAACATCTGGGCTGCATTTCAAGGGAAATCCTATGCCATTACTAAATGTAAAACAATCAGATGAGATAGCCTTCTGGGTGTTAGGGTGCTGGAAGTCAAATGTGGAGTATTTTCATAATTTCATGGCTGCTGATCTGGAGAAGAGATTCAGATACCAATTAAGAGGTGATTGGGTTTGAGGACTTGCGTCCCTTCAGCTCCTGGCTTCATTGTGTTTAACAGTTGCTATCTCAAACTCTTCCTTTTTGGTGTCTTTGTAACATGGAATAAATATATGTGGGCTTGTTCTGTGTGCAGCTTAAGATCTGCAGTAGCGGTTTCCTCCCAGAAAGGAGCCACTGCTGACTGGGATGCTAAAGCTTATGGGGAGCTGTTTCTTTGAGGTCAACTTAACTCCTGCTTTGAGCTCTACTGGGAGGAAAGGTATCTCTTGGCTAGTACAGGACTGTCTGTTGCAGTAGAGAAAAACAGAGCCAAAATGTTGGCAAAGAGCCCAGACTGGATGTCCTGATCTTGTTGTCAAATAGTGGGTGTCAAACAAAGTTTTGCTGTTGTCTGTTTGCACCTATGTGAGTCTGGGAGATGAATGCTGGTCTGGTAGGACAATATGTGTCAGTAAAGAAAAAACTTGATAACTGTGACTTGCAATTTTACAAGAAATGTATTTATTAAAGTCAGTGGTTTCTTTGTGAATCTCGTGGCTGAAGGCAACTGAGTAGAAAATGGATGGCTTCTGTCACTAGTTTTAACAGCTGACCACCAGACCACTTCAAACAATTAAAAAAAAATATTCTGGTGTTAAACCAAGTGATGATGATGACCTTAGTTTAATGCTGCACTATGATTGTCTTTGCCTAAAGCTTTGCTAAATTTTACTGAGTGCTGGTTTTGTCCTGTCACTGTTACTGGAGCACCATGCACTGGCATGTTAAGTGACTTCATTAATATTTGTCCAGGGTAGATTGCTGACTGGGATGTCCAAGGGATTAAATGTTGTACAATAAAAGCTCATCTCTTTAAGTTAAATATATTCATCCTGCAAGTATGAGGAAGCCATGGGGTACTTGGGTACTAAAAAGCCAAAGCAAGTATTTCCTTATTTTCCTTATAAAATAAGACTTAGAAGAAGAAGCTTCTCTATGAAATAATCCCATTTAAAGGTCTAGTCCTCAAACTGTCCAGTCTCTGAAATGTTTCGGTGCTTGAAGGCTTATTTTCTAATTCAGTTTTGAGAATTATAGCTGTTCCTCAAACAGAAACGTCTGCAGTTTAATGTCTGATAAAATTTAGTTATCCCCTGTTTGCGGGATGATGTTGCGGTGTTTTGGAAGCCAACACGGCAAGGCACGGGGGCTCTGTGGCTCCCGTGGGTGAGCAGGGGGAGCTTTGGCATTGCTTTCACCGCGTGGGGCAACTCTTCGGCGCGGAGCGGTGGCTGCGGCGGGACGGAGGTTCCGGTCCCTGTGTTGGGCTGTGAGCGGCGGTCCCGGGGAGGGGACAACAGGCCCGGCCCTTTGTAGAAACCTGAGGCAGCAGCACGCACCGAGGCAAAGGGAAGGGCTCCTGCGGGGGGAGCGGGAGCAGCGGGGAGAGGCCGGTAGAAATAGGTGAATTCAAGAGCGAGGGGCGAGGCGGGCCGCAGTTGGTGCCCGGCTGCGCGGAGGTCCCGCGCTCCTCCGCACCGCCCGGCCCGGGGCGGGAGGGGCCGCGGGGCGCCGGTAGCCGCGGCCCCGCCCCGCCCGCGCGTGCCTCGATCCGCCGCGTCGGGGGCACGCGGGGTCCGGGCCGGGCCGTCTGACGCTGTGCTCTGCCCGCAGATGGCCGCGTGCGTGTCCCGGGTGGAGCTGTCCGTGGCCTGGCGGAGCCTCCTCGACGGGACCTGAGCTCCAGGTCGAACTCCCTCTGCGTCCTGCCGCAGGACGCGGGGCGATGGCCGCTGGACTGAGGTAAGAGCGGCCCGCGCGCTGCCAGTGGCTTTACAAACGCTGAGTCTCCCCTTTTCCATCCCATAGGTTTTCCTGGCAGGTGTGCGACATACTTAATTCAGATTTATGATTGGTGAGCAGTCACATTGCCCACACTCAAGCCTTCAGTGTTTTCTTTAATTGCTGACTTGTTTGCTCAGAGTTGCATCAGGAGGCCCATTTGCCTGTAACGATGTGACTTGCTGCAGAGCACAGGCTCCAGAATACATTGTTTCAGCAGTCTGTTCCCCCTAGTTTCCAGAATTTTCCCATACAATAGCGTTTTTCAATGCCATTTCCTTTCCCGGTGAGCCATCGGTCAGCCCAGTTTGTCACTGAGCATGAGGCATGGTGCAGGGTGTGTAGCCTTGCTGGTGCCTCTGTTCACCTGGTGCAGGTAAAAAGCTGTGTAGGAGAATATGGGCTTGTTACTCATTGTCAACAGCTTTGCTCCTGTGTTGTTTTGCAGCTAGATCACACGAAAAAGATCAAGAACTGCCAAGACCCTAAATTCTGCAAGAAACTGGTTGTGGACTACTACTTTGAGAAAATACAGAAGCTAAAATTCAGCGTGTATGATATTGCTAACAAGTCCTTTGATTTAAATGATGATGACTACCTGGGAGGGATTGAGTGTGCACTGGATCAGGTACGTGTAGTTGTGTTAAATGATGTACAAAATAGCAGCAAAGTTGGCTTTACTATGAAAATGAAGTGAAAATGTGCTTTGTCAAAGGCTGAAACATATTCAAATTTGAAAACACTGTTAAACATGTTTGTTTGTGTTACCATTGAATGTGGTTAGAAAAATCATGATGTCGATCAAAGCAAAGGTTAGAAATACATGTATTTTGTAATTAATTGCTTAACTTAGGAGGCACTTCAAGAGTAATTCTTTCCTCTTTGTCTAACATGATATATTTATTATTATTTTTTTATTATCTGACTTCTAACCTTAGGTTGTGTCCAGCTCAGTGTTCACTCAACTGCTGGAACTGAAGCAGGAAAAGCCAGCAGGAAAGGGCACTATTACAGTAGATAAGGTTTTTGTTTGAAAAAACTCTCTCAATATGTTGTCTGGGATAAAGTGGCTTTTCTGGTTTCTTTTCAGTATATCTTCAAATGCTACATATATACAGGAGAGAGATATTTAAAAGAAATTACAGTTTCTTTTATGGACAAAATATAAGCAAAACTCTGTGATTTCTTGTTTGCACTTTTTCCCCCCCTAAATTTCCATGGCAGGGATTTCAGCAGAGGAGATTAAGGATACCAGGGTTGTTTACCTGGAAATTGAAGCCCAAAACTTGGACAAAAAGGTATTGATTTTAAAAATAATATCTTGCATACTTCTCTAGTAATTACATTTTGTGCCTTTTGGTCAGGAATCTCTGTGTTTGCTGACGTTAAACTAAGCCAGTAATCCATTTGTGAGCACAGGCTTGCTGTATTTTGTGTTATTTACAGTGGAGTAAGTTGGAGATACAATTGCATGTTGAAGTCCACAATGTCAAACTAGAAACTCAAATGCCAGGTTTAGGTTTTAAGGTATTATTTTGGTTTTGAATATTCTGTATGTGAATACCAATCACTTATATAATTGTCTTAAGCAAACTGATATTTCAGTAATTTTGTTAAAGAAGAAAAGGTGGAAATTTAGGTGTTCTGCTCAATGTTATTTTAAGACCAATACAGGGATTTAGTCACCTAACTCTCAGTTAACAAAATACGCGATTTGTAGGGACAAAAGTGGTTTGAGGAGGAGATCTTGGAATTGGAGCTTATAAATGCTGATGACTTACAGAGTGCAGCAGTTTTTAAAAGGAAAATAAAAAAGGAAAGAAAATTAATGCACAGTTTGTTTGACTTCATTATTTTTTGAAGTATTGTCTACTATTTAGTTAATTCTTTACTCATTTTGGTAAAATATAGAGGAGGCTGATTACTTCTGGGTTTTGGGTGCAGGATTTCTTAGGTAAATCAGATCAATTTCTGGAGTTTAACAAGCAGAGCAATGCTGGACCATGGCAGCTTGTGTACAGAACAGAGGTAGAATTTCCTCAAAGTGTTTTCCTTGAGTTGATCAGACAGCTTATTCTTACTCAAAGTGAGAGAGAGTCCCGCTCCTGGTCACGCTTTGCACCAGTTTTGGAGAGAAAGTATCGTATAAAAAGGTATTCTGCTCACTATGGCTGTAGCAAATTGTTTATTTGCTGCCTGGTGACTGGATGGAACTACCTGAGTAAGGAGTCTGACCACGGATAGCAAATGAGAAGAGGGTCTCTCTTCCTTCTCATTGGTGTTGAGCTTGGCTGTAAAATGTAACTTCACTGAGAGCATCAAGCTTTTATTTCTTGCAGAGCTGTTGCTTGGCCATTGATACATGCCAGGATTGAACTGGTTGAAGCTATTCTTAACTTGCCATGAAGAGCCCTCATGTCATCATTCCTTGTGAGTTGCATGCTGTATTTCTCATGTGACATTATGCTGTCATATTTTTAAGGTCATCAAGAACAACTTAAATCCATGCTGGAGGAAGTTCAGCTGTTCCCTTGCAAACTTTCTGTGGTGGAGATTTTAATAAACCTATCAAGGTACAGCCTTTAGAAATTCTCTTTGTTGTTCCAAGTCATCAATTTTCTGTTGATGCTAGGTATGAGTTATCAGGTTGTCTAGTCATATTTAAGTTATTAGATTGCCTTTCTAGAATTGTAGTGCAGCAGATAAGGGATTATATGTCTGTTTTAAAATATGATGAGTTGTCAAATTGAGAAGTCAGGAAATGCAGAAGTGACACAGTTTCCAATGATTAGTCATAAGAAGAATTGTAACTGGTTTTTTTTCACTATTCTGGCCAGGGTTTCAAGTTGAGCTTTGGTGAGGGTGTCTTGGTTGGTTGGGTGGTTGGTTTTTTTGTTTTTTTTTTCATTGCGGCCTTCTAGCACTGTTTCTAAGTTGACTGAGAAACGTGCAGATATTGGACAAACTTAAGTGCCCTGGGATACTAACACAGAGAGGTCTTTGAGGTATCTGTCAGATTTATCCACTCAAGAGACTGGAAGGTTTTCCCAACTCTTTTTCTATCTTTTTCAAGTAGAAATTTAGTTTTGAGTCAGAATTGCATTCCCTTGTGGTCTTGTATATGATAATTAATTCTTTGTGTCCCTGGCTTGTGGAGGTATAGCAGAACAACTGCATATTTTAATATGTTTCTACAGAAGAAAAATCTGATAGCAACTTAATATGGTAATTTTTCTTCTGAGCAATGCATTGATAATTTAAAGGCATTTAAATACATAGATTGTTCTGTGTGTGTAATTTCTTTCTACTTTTCTAACACCTAAATGCTTTACATTTGCAGAATTTTACTTCTTCGTCCTCTCTCTGAAGAAATCTCATGCTGAAAGCTTGATATGGAAGATTTAGCAAAATGCATGCATGCTAATGTTGTTCTTTGTGCAGTATGGTAGTTCCTAATAATTACTGAGATTATTAACCTGGAAATAGGTGTTCAGGTGTTGTCTTGGTGTAAAAGACAGGTGTCTGCCAAAGAAGGCGGGAACCTCCCATGGAAAGGAGACTATGACCCTCTTCCGTCTGAATTATTATAACTTTGAAATGACAGGGCTTTCAGGCAAAGATACCAGAAGAGGAATAGCAGTTCCTTGCTAGCGTGTGTGTGTATAACGTGGCAAACCAACCCCCAGCCCGGCAGCACCGACGAGCAGACGCAGAGCCCCAGGGCCGGCCTTGTCCCGGCTGCAGGCACCTTCCCCTGCGGTGCAGTTCCGGGCACAGCCAGCAGGGGCGCTGCTGGCTCCCGGCCGGGCAGGGCGGGGCGATGATTCCCCCGGGGCTGCAGGGGGCGCTGTGGCAATGGCGGCCGGGCTGGCGGAAGGGATGCACAAGGGGCTGCCTTTGGCGAACTCGCGGGAAGCAGACAGGCAGGAACCTCAGAACAGCAGGCTGGAACAGCAGAGGTGAGCAGACCCTGGGTGGCAAACAAAGTGTAGCAAAAAACCCGAAGCTGTGGCAGGAGCAATGGGGTCCAGCAGTGGCAACCAGGCTCCCACAGGCAGCAGGGAGGTGCTCCCTCCAGAGGGGGAGAGGGGTCCTGGGTTTCCCCTGAGGCACTCAACCACTTGATGAGGGTCTCTTCCAGTGAGGTTGGTTGTTGAAAAGGTCCCAGTTCAACAGCTGCTCTTACGAGCAGAGGCTCACCCAGGGTTAGGAGAAGCAGTGAAGGACAAAACTCCACAGTGGTGAAGCCTTTGGGCAGCAGTAGTTCAGCACCAAAACCACAACCGTGACCTCTGATTCCAAGAGCAAGGCTGTAAAAGAGGGCTGAGCCCAGGCCCTGGCCCCCAGCTAAGTCTTGGTATCTCTGCACTTCACAAGAGAAAATCTCCCCCAGGTACCAAGCTCACTCCCCAGCTGAGACTGCAGCCAACTACACCCCTTGTCCCCTCCTCCCCATCTTGGCCACATCTTTTGTCCCTCGTAGGCAACAAATGGGAGGAAAATTCCCTGAGAGAAAGGAAAAAAAAAAAAAGAAAAATCCAAACCTTGAACAGGTGTACTGGGCTTGTTGATTGGTGGCAGTGTTCTAAGTGGTGTTTGTGAATTGTTATTGTTGGGGAATCAACAATCTTAGGTCAGAAAGAAGTCATCTTTGTTCAAAAGTGTGCAGCAAGCATATAGAGGAGGTGACTAAGAGGTGCATATTGTCATTGGTTAGAACTGACATGACATGGTCTACACATGCTGTTTTGTGGGGCTATATTTTCTATAGCCCAAAAATATTGTGTTGTTATTTTGTTTTGTTTGTTTTCTAGAAGCTTTCTATGCTTTGGAGTCCACTTCAGAATTATGTACTTATTCAAAAGAATAGCTTTTTTCTGTTAGTTCATTTAAGCCAAAATTCTTGATGTATGGGCAAATAATCTCTGAAATTTCCCAATGTAGCTGTGAAAAAGGATTAAGCTGTTCATATCCTTAACATGCTGGGGAAGTTAGTCAGGGGAGTCTAGACTGATAGTCAGGAGTTTCACTAACAACTCTGAAGTATATAATATTGCACTGCTGTTTTATTTTTCATTTGGAATTTGTTCCTCGAAACCTCTTGTTTGAGGCTTCCAAAAATTTACCTAGTGGTGAAACTTTGGGCAGCATACACCATTTTGGTGTATGCCCTAAACAACAACTTTGCCAGCTCTGCGTGAGGATTAAATGCTGAATATGTGTGTGAACATAAATCTTTTGATCAAATGTTATCTACTGTTATGGCAATTCTGTCTTCATTGTGATTCAGAGTGATGTTCTCCTTGTTCTGTGTTAAGAACAGCTCATATTTGTGACACAGCCTAATCTTTGTTCTGGTCTTATGAAAAATAAGTGAGAGCAGCACCTCAGCCCCATAGTTACTTAAATAGAAATAACAAATGTAGCAAATAGAAGTAGCAAAATAGAAATTTGTATTTGTTGGTATTCTCAGGTTTAGTGGCATATACACAAAGGCAAAATAATTTTCTGTGGATTTCGAAAGTTCCTCCTGTAGATGAAAGGGGCCTTTTTCTTGCTGACTGTATTCCATGGCTTGTAATGAGTATTGGAGAGTTCATTTGCGAAGAAATAATAAATAAGTCAATACAGTGTCCTGCAGTATTGGAGGGTTTTGTTTGCAGCAACACCACTCTTTGGGCTGCTTGCAGTGAATCTTGGCCAGTCTTAGAAAAAAACCCTTGTAAGAAGAGGTTTGTTTTAAACCATACCTTGTTGTGAACTAATAACTGCACTGGTCCTTGGCATGGCTGTGAGGGGAGTAGGAGCAGGAAGGAGGGGAGAAGAAATGTGTGGAGATGGCTGGATTCCCTGAAGCTCTCAAGGTGTACTGGCATAAAGGAGACTTCACTGGGAGTCTGCACCCTGGCTTCTGCACAAGAGAAGGCCTCCCTGGCATGATCCAGTCACTTTTGGGTGATGTGCAAACATCAGAAATGTTGGGAGAAGCCAAGTAAAGTTCAGGGAGGAGGCGTGGGAATTGCTTCATGGTGGAGTGTTTAGATGAGAAGAGGAGAAGTTAGGTGGGAAGGATGGGGGAGGAGAAGGGGAAACAGTCTCTGTGGTGTCTTTTGCCATTAAGACACCGGAAGATGCCATGGTGCTTCCCATTTAGGTGACTACATTAAGCCATAATTCACCTGGGTGTTTGCATGGGTTTTCCATTGATACCAGTGGAAGACACCCTTTAGATCTGAATAGTCCTGTAAAGAGCTCTATGTCAAATTCAGGTATGTAGCCATTGAATTTGACATCCTTATCAGGGTGTGAGATTACCCATGGGTTCATCTTGTCCCATTGTCCTTAGGAGAAAGCTGTCACTGTGGTTTATACCGGAGTAACGTCAACTTGATTTCTGAAGGCAGATCTCAGAAAGAGAGTTCCTGAATCTGTGTGGCATGTGAGCTTCAGAGGAGGAAGAGGGAGCTGCTTACAACTGTCCCTTAGTTGTCTGCTTCTGGAATTACTTGTGTTCTGCAGTTGAACATATTAGAAATGCTCCTCGCTGGTGATTTCATGGAGAGCTATGACACCATGTTCCTGTAAACTGGTTATTAATGTATTTTTATTTGTATATGCATTGCTGTTCTGCATTATCTAGTTCTGAAGCCTTCATTCTGACATAAAAATTACTGTTTATTAATAAAGTATTTATAATTTGGTTGGTATAAGATGCAGAAAGAGACAGACTTACTGTTCCATGGAAATTGGAATTTCCTTGTAAATTGATACTATTGTTTGACAGAAAAAAGGAGCACAGTTTGAATAATAAAGTTTTAATTGCTTGTTCCCATTACCCCAGTTGCATATCTTGTCCTGAATGACCTCACATTTACACATTTGTACTGTGAAATGTTGGGGGGTTTTAATGTTTCTTTAAAATATTTATTTATTTATTTAATCTCTTCCATTTAAACCAGGGGAAGATTATTTTTTTTTAAGTTTTCACCATGCATACTTAAATGGGTGAGGAAGTGAACATGTTCCTCTCTTGAGATTCACTGTGGCTGTGTGTCTTTGCTCCTGGGTTTCAGTTAGTGGTGTGGCCAGCATCCCCAGTCCTGATGGCATGGGGGAGTTCACCAGCATTGATGCAGAGCTGTCAGACAGGAGATGGGGCAGTGAGCCATGGCCAGTCTCCCTAATGCAGGACACCTGCCCATTGCCTGCTTCCTTCTCCTTTCAGGTGCAGTGTGCAGATTGTGACAGCGATGGCTCCCATGACTTGTTAGGCGCTTTAGAAACGACTCTGGGCACATGCAGACAGCTGGTGCTGCCTCTCTGGTGAACTTCCTCAGCCACTGCTTAGTCCAGATTTCAGCCTTTCAAATCCTTTCTAATATTGACCTTGGACATGCCCTTTTAGTTGTTACCTCCAAATGTGTATTTTTGTATTATTAAGCCAACATTTAAAAATAATAAAAACCGGTGTGGGAATTATTTTTCTTTGGGTTCTGTTACCATTCCTATTTCTAAAAATATCCTTGAGCCAGTTATCTGCTGACCCTGTTGTTCGCTGAGCTACTTTTCCCAGCAGTTCAGCTTGCTTTGGCCTCTGCTGAGTCAAGTGAAAACAGAAGTGTGTTTTGATATTGTAACAGGTGAGTCCAGAAACACAGCTTGTCTCATATAATGTATGTGCTGGAGCTGGTCCCCCTCCTGAGCACTCTGGTCACCTTGCTTGCTAACAGTAGTCCTTCCAAGGGGCACTTGGTCTTGGTCATCCAATACTAGAGTAAGTTGAGTCACATGCTGGTGGTGCTGGTTTTTGTTTGTTTGCAGTGAAAACCTGACATCTCATTCTCCTGGAGATTGAGATGCACCTGAATTGAGGCAGCTGTATTTGCACACAGGATGTAGCCCAGGACTATTCCAGTTGCCAGCCAGCTTGATTGGGCATAATACAAAAGTGGGTGGAAGGTTCTTGCCTTTTTTCTAGCCCTTGTGACTTCAGAACCAATGTGAATGAATCCAAGCAGGTAAGCACTGCCACTGGGAACCTGTGGCCCAGGCTTTTTTAGCCTTCCCACCCTGAGAATTTTGCTTCCTCTGCCTAGTGCTGGTGGCAAAAGCACTCTGTTTAGCTCATTTACATAGTGGCCAAAGTAGTCACAGACCTTTTAAAATTCAATTTCTTAATTCTGCTGGGTATTTTGGTAACTCTGAAACTGGGGGATGTGTGGCACTATCTGTTTCAGTGATTTGCTCTCCTGTAAAGGCACATATTTTGGAACATGCTTCTGTGCTTGCTTTCTGTAAGTGGAATATGAACGCATTCATCCTGAGGAAAAAAAACAAAAGAAAAAAACTACAAAAACTCTGGCATTATTAGGATAAAATCCTGCAAGGTAGGAAGATTTTTGTTGGGTATCTTTTTTTTTTAATTTTCTGATTGTAGTGAAATGAGTAGATGTTACAATATCTGTTCCTCTAGATTGAGACAGAATATTAATTTCTGGACTATGTGATGGGAGGCTGCCAGATTAACTTTATGGTGAGTTGTTCCCCACTGCTTGTATTGGTAGATGACAGAACCAAAGCAGTGAGGTTGTGTTCGGTATTTTTATTGGCAGCATGAGTGACTGCAAATGCAGTATGAATTTGCAGTGATGAAGTCTGCAAAACGCTAAAGGATACTGTATTTTTGTTTTTCTTGATCAAATAGCACTTTAATGGAGCTAGGGCTTCTTAAATGTTTTTTGAGAAATTGGTTTGGTCTGTCAATGGAAAGGATTGCTATGGGTTGGAAATACCTGTACCCAAGTCGGAAAAGGGGTGCAGTCTTGTGTGCATGTCCCTGCGTAGGGTTGCTGTGTGCCTGGGAGAAAAGGAACTGTGTGGTCTTGAGTTAACCCCCTGTTTCTGGATATAGTTTGTTCTTCACATTTGTTTGTGCTGACATATCAGTGACTTGCTACCATCATGTTGCCTGATCAGGTGGGTGTAGACTTAACTGCCTCTAGTGGAGATCCCAAGTCACCAGAATCTTTTCACTACATCAGCCCAGATGGGATAAATGAGTACCTGATTGCCATCTGGAGTGTGGGAAGTGTAGTCCAGAATTATGATACATATGTAATGATCTTGACTGATCTAGTCACCATGTCAAAAATGTGACTAGAACAGCTTGTTCTAGCCCTGCACTCTTGTAATGATCGAGGGGCTGCCTTTCCTTGGGAGATCCCTTTAGGAGCTGCTACTGTTTCCTCTTGCTTCTGTCAGTGTTAGGGAGAGCAATGGCAGCCCTTCATAATTTGCCGTATTTCCTTGGCTTGTCCCTTCTGAGTCCCTTGATGCTTCAGCTGGGCACTGATCTCTTGTTGCAGATGATGCATTGCAAACCTGAATGTCCTATTTGGTTCAGTGGAAATGGACATTGGGAGCAATGGGAGCAGTCATGGTTGTCTGCTTTGTCCTGTAGCCAGGCTGGGAGTGGTCTGGCTTTTCTCTTGCTACTTTGAAATCCGCTGAGAGTCCTGTGGGGTGCTGCACTGAGAGAAATTATCTAACTCTCAAGCCCAAGTCTGAAACCATTGGATACCTGGTACTAGGCCATGGCCAGCTAGATGATGTACCAATTCCTTGTGGCAGGAATTCTGCCTTGGTCTCCAGCTACTTTTGGTGAATAAAACTGAAGAGTGAGTTATTACAGAATTGCTCTTTTATTGGAATATGTATCCCAATATAACCAGTTAGATGGTGCCTAGGCCAATTCTGACCTTCGCTGCTGGGCCAGAGGCAGCACTGCGGTGTTTTACCCCAGAGATACCTTGGCTGGCGGCAGAGTGCAGC